TGAAGCCTTGTTGTGTCCTCTGGATCGCTTTATGATATTTTGTTTGTTTGAAGCCTTGTTTTGTCCTCTGGATCGCTTTATGAGATTTTGTTTGTTTGAAGCCTTGTTATGTCCTCTGGATCGCTTTAGGAGATTAAAACATCGGTAAACTACTGTTGCCTTAATATTTTTTTTTCTCTATGATGTGTTATTTTTTGTTTGAATGTTGCATTTTGCTTTTGGTTTTTATTCAATTGCGTATTGTCTACAAGATACTTTGAGATGAAATGAATGACCGGATCCAACTCCCTAAAAAATCAAATGTTCGTCCCCTGCCATTTCTGAAGTGTGAGTGGTTCAAAAGACAGAAATAACCACATTTACAATATGCAGTGAAAGGAATGGCTCAAAAAGCATTCTTACGAAAGGAGGCGCTTTTTTTTTGCTAATACAAAAATAACTATGTGTCTGATTGTGAAGACTATATCAACCTGTTCTTAAATAATTCTCTCTTATATATATTTCTCATAAGCATTTAATTCTTAAAGTTATTCATCCACATATAGCTGGTTAATTGTAACTCCTAATCTTATTTTCATATGAAACGAAATATCATTGTAGATACCTGAGTTCACCTATGTCGGCCGTCTCTTTAATAATGAATGTAAAATAGCTTTATATGGTGGCCGGTTAACGCCATTTTGCGTTTTCGCCTTTCATATTCCATAGGGCGAAAACGCGAAGTCGAAAACGCGAAAAATTGTTCCACTTCTCTTTTTCGCGTTATCGTGTTTTCGAGTTTACGCATTTTCGCGATTTCGCAATTTTGCGCTTTTACGTTTTCGCGATTTTGCGAATGTCAATTACGGCTCACTTCTGTCAATCATCTCGTATCTTTATTTAAAGAGAGTTACTTATTTGGATTAAACCAATTTTCAATTTTCAACTCATACAAGTGAGAATTTTGGCTAGCTATAAAGCCAGGTTTAATCCACCATTTTCTACTTAAGGAAATGCCTGTACTAAGTCAGGAATATGACAGCTGTTTTCCATTCGTTTAATGTGTTTGAGCTTTTGATTTTGCCATTTGATAAAGGACTTGCCGTTTTGTTCGGCTTTAGATCCATGTTTCATTATTTAGGTAAAGAAATGTTTGTAGCACCCCGTTTCATGATATTCTGGACTTTTTGATCGGAAACATATTTGCTAAAATTAGTAAATGGTATTTCAATGAGAACTAATTGTGCACAACTTCTGGTCGACTTTTGTTCTCATACAAAACCTTCTCAAAGAAAAAAAAAGGAAAATTCTTTAATTTCAATTTCAGTAATATTGATGTTTTATCACTCAAGAACCAACATAACCCATTTCATAATGAAAGAATTATTGCTGACAGTGTTGTACCTTAAAAGTAGTCAGAGCTGAAATCCTACAATATATGTTTACTGGTAAAATTAGTTGCAATAGGTGTGTTATAATCGCACTAAATGGTTGAAACAAACTATTCTTTAGAAAAGGAATAAAAATATATGATGAATATTGTCTACATTTATGGTGTCATGACCTTTGTTGGTATAGTTCCGAAATGGCGGGTCTCCCTTTTGTCAATTCAGGTTACTGTTTCTTCATATCCATACAATTACATGCTGTACCCCTATTTTTGACGTTTTTACCTATTATGTCTGTTTGTTTTGTTCACACATTGTTGTCAATATAATGGAATTTTATGCGACTGTCATACAAGTGAGAGGTTTAGGTAACTATAAAACCAGGTTAAATTCACCATTTTCAACATTAAAAAATGTCTGTACCAAGTCAGGAATATGACAGTTGTATTCCATTCGTTTGATGTGTTTGAGCTTTTGATTTTGCCATTTGATAAGGGTCTTTCCGTTTTGAATTTTCCTTGGAGTTCGGTATTTTGTTATTTTACTTTGTATGGTAACAGTATAGTATGTGTGCCATCCTTCTGCATGTCCAGCGCAGTGAATGAGATATCTCTTTAAAATTGAAATTTCATTAATCTTTCAATCAGACTTCATTTGCACAAAGTTCACTTCAATCCAAAATATACTATTATTTATCTTCAATCTGGACGTTTGGCTTGTCTTTCATTGAGTTTTGTTATAATTTGAACTGTGCCATATCCAACAAAATTTAGATTACCCCTCTTCTACTTTGATACAGCTTCACTCCATTAGTCACCACTGAATAAGCTTTGATACATTTTGATTTGACAAAGTTCACTTTTAATGTTGAGTAACAACATGCTTTTCGTTAAAAACTTAAAGGGATATTGTGTATAAATACTTGGCACAGAATCGAAATAGGCAAAAAGCAAAATTAAGGGAACATCGTTTTTATTGCCTTTTCCTCTCTAAATACATAGGGAGCAATGCAACGCAAAGCGAGAGCTCACACCTCTCTCTGAGTTCAAAGCTATAATAGATTTTAAAGACACAGGTTCTATGAATCATAAAAGTTTGACTTGACATTATCGTCATTGGAATAAACATTTGTAAACTGTCCTGTCTGTGTTAAAATTTGAGTTAGGTAGAGAAGCTGTATGGTTGCTTTGGATCCTATGCAATTGCTTACACCGTAATTTAATCAGAATTGTATTGAAGACTTATTTGTACCAAAAAATTAAAGAAATATACTGTGTTATATCGGACTGATTAGAAGCAGAATGGTGACTATCATCATGAAAATAGAATCGTAATGCATCAATCGGACAGGAGAAATAAAATTTTGATAGACAAAAAAATACGAACTTTAGTTGGTTTATGTTTTTGGACAAATACTGTCATTATTACAGCTGTAACAAACACACACACACACACACAAACATCGGTCTTGGATAGGAAAAAAAATAAACGCTTTCTAAGGATAGAATATAAACAAAATCTGTACTTTGAAATAGAATTAAGAAAGAGCCAAACCGTCCATGAAAAAATATAAAAAAAGCTACAGATCAAGGGATCAAATATCACAAGACAATAAACAATCAATGTCCAAGATCATCAATTGTTTAAGATTCAATCGTAGACTAGTTTGATTAGATTGACATAACCTCTAAAAATGAGTGAATACTGACAATCAGTGCCTATACATATATATTGGTAATCTATTTATTCATCTGCACTGGGATTTCATTACCAGAGAAATTAATCAGAAACTGAATATAAAACCTTTAATAATAGTATTTTCATTAGAAACAAAAAGAGGTCACTATTTCAGATTCCACAAATGTATCCAGAATCTCATTAGAGACCTGGTCATGATTTATCTGCAAGTAGTATAAAGTCAGTCAATAAAAGGAACAATTACTGGGACTTGACTGTAAGAGTACAAAACTCTCCATTGCAGTTCATAAAATTTCTGACCAATTGCAGTTTGTATCATAAATCAAAATTGTTGAATTGGTCAGATTTGTTTTTTTTTCAAAAGTACTCTAGTATAGCCACAAAATCATTAATGTTTGCACTTACAGTAGACTTGTGTTCATAGCCTTTGACTATCTGAATAGTCATCCAATCCGAAAATTTCCTTTTTCCTATTTTGACATTTTTAACTGAGTCTTGATTTGCATGGCAGAATTAAATACATAGCAGAAGATGTTTACTTTGTCAATGAAGCAGGTCTGGCTCAGTTTGGAGTCCATGCAAGATCGTCAGGTTTTATTCTCTTTGTTGATATATAAAATGGATAAATTAGTGCTGAACATCGACAACTACTGTTGTTTCTTATCTAACATTGCAGTGAATAAATCATACGGTGCTTACAAACCCAAAGGTTCACTGTCCACTGTTTGTTACATATTAAAATTACAAAATAAAAGTATTTAATCATCTAGATTTAAAAACCGTTGTGATGACAGTTATTATTTAATTTGCATTATAAACATTTGTTTTATTAGCTAGTCTTGAAAACTTAGGCAGTAGACACTCTAATTTCTAGCTGCTTATAAATCTTTATATTAGTAGCTTGCTTGGGCACAAATGGTCATACAATCAATTACTTTTGTATTTAAAGAACTTTTAAGTCTTTTTACTACCGAAAGATTCTATCATTTCAAATAAATTCGCGAGGATTTTCAACATAATGGTGGTGGAAACTTTCATATGTATATCCATCAAGTGGTGATAGTTGTTTAACATATTGATTTTGTGGATTGACATAATCCTCCGAGTGTTTGAAGGTGTACCTTGATTGGCAGAAATTCGATTATAGATTACAGATTGGTTATCAACTTCTTTTTTTATAGATATGATAGAGAAAATATATCGAATTATCTCAATTTCTCTCCAATTACAGTTTTGAATAATTTGACAGTCTGGATTGATGATACAGCTACAATTGGGTCTGCTTTTTTATGAACTACAGTAGGGAGAGAGATTATAAAACATACAAGCAAAGTCACAATTAAAAAGATATTTGACCGCTTGTAAATAGTTATCAATGGTTAATATATAGATATAAGAAGATGTGGTATGAGTCCCAATGAGACAACTCTCCATCCAAGTCAAAATTTATAAAAGTAAACCATTATAGGTCAAAGTACGGTCTTCAACACGGAGCCTCGGCTCACACCGAACAGCAAGCATTAAAGGGCCCCAAAAATTACTAGTGTAAAACCATTCAAATGGGATAACAAACGGTCGAATCTATATACAAAAATCGAAAGGAGAAACACTTATGAACCACATCAACAAACGACAACTACTGAACATCAGATTATTTAATGTATATATATATGTCTGTGATGAAAACAACATGTATGATGCCTTTACTGAAAAAATAACATATCAAAGAATTTCAGAGGCTTGTTTCTCTTACGTTACGTTACGGCCAATATCTTGCCTTTTAATTTAGTAAACTTGGAACAAAAATCTGACTTTCTTTCCGGGCATTGCCAATCTTAAATCTTGAAAACTTTACTGAAGAAAAAACTGTTTGCATTTGTTTATTTTGTAGTAAGAAAACAAATACAACCATTTTCATAATATAAAACAATCTCATTAAAAAAAAACCTCTTTATTTGATAAAATTTATTTCCCAAACGTCATTTTTTTATCAACAGAATTGGACAATTTTGTTGAATTACTTTTTTCAGAACTTGCGTCTGCCATCTTCATTTATTTCTTATGTGGTTCCTCTTCTTGTGAATTGGTTATGTACCAGTCTGGTAAAAACTGATATTTTTCTGAAATAGGAGGCTGTTTGTGTAGTTGTATATCACGTCCCGGTTGCCAGCTCATAAGGTATACTGACCTACAAAAAATATCTCTTATAAGTAACTGTGACATAACTGTTAAAGAACCATTCAAACTATCGCAATTCATTAAAATTTTGACACAATAGCAAATTGTTTCATTAAATTAATTTTTGAATTGCTATAGAAGTGTCAAAATTGATCTTTTATACTATTCCTTCTAAATATGTTTGTGCTCAATAATCTTAAAATGTAAAAATTTCATTGAAATTATTTTAGCTTAAATATGTTTTCATGAAGTGTAAATCGGCAATAACCCAAAATCCTTGTCAAATTTGTATGCGTACTTTTGCAGAAAATATCTTTTTTTATCTTTTTTTCGGATTTATTTTAGATAACTGTTTCTCAACTTTATATATATATATAAAGAAAAAAAAAGAGAAGGAAGATACAAAGATGATATTCAAAATTCATAGTCTGAGAAAAACAAAGCCATCGAAAAATACGAAAGACCAACAAAAGACAAATAAATTTCCAAATAATGCATAGAAAACTAAAGAATAAGCAATACGAACACCATCAAAAATTGGGGGTTACTCAGGTGCTCTGGAAGGGTAAAAAGTAAAATAATAAAAATACCGAACTCCAATTGAAATTCAAAACGGAAAGTCCTTTACAAAATGGCAAAATCAAATGCTCAAACACATCAAACGAGGCAGATCCTACTCCACTAGTGCCATCCGTCGTGTTACTCATGGTAAATACAAATTCGGTAGTGAGTCATTCCATGATGCCACAATTGAGGAAAACAGCACGGGATTGAGGTTGCAATTGGAACATATCCGTGGTCACTTGTGTCAAAGTTATGCCATAACGGTCAACCAACTCGTGATGACGTCTGTAAAACTACCGAACGGATTACTTCAACTTTACTACTTGGAACTCTTGGCTCAAAAGCCGCAACCCTCTTTCAGAATGTACTACTAGTATTAACTGAACATATGTTTAATTCAAGCTTCAGTGTGAGATTATCCAATCTTTTACAAAGGGGGATTGATATTAGTATGTTTAACTGAATATTACAGGATTTAATTCAAATTCAGGCCTGTTTCTAATAAAGATAGATGATATGTTTTAAAAGACAGTTCGAAAGCATTTTGGCAATTACAGAGTTTAAAAGTGACCATCTTACCTTTCGTATGACTTAGTAAGAAATTAAGCTGGACAACGATAGTAAAGATGTCATGGAAATCAAACCTAAGGACTGTAAGTATGCTTTTTTGGACTTGTTCTACAATCACTGATGACTAGACTGATGCTCTCCTTGAGCAGTTTGGCAAAACATCTGATCAGTTTATTAGTTTGATAAATGTTTGATTGCAATTGCGTCATAATTTTTAATAAACTGGTATAGGTTGAGAGAAACACTAAGGCCGAAGTATTTGTTTACAAATGCAATCAACTACAATCCCTTGTTATGATGCTGATAACATAATATGAAATTTATCTGTTCAGACTTTTAGAAAATTGTCACGAAGATCAATCGACATATTAAAATATTTAAAGTATCGATAAACAGGAAGTTGTCTGACACATCCAAAAAGTCCCCACACGATAAAACTCATTACTGTTTACTTGCTGACCAAATATAAAGTCGGTCAGTTTAATGATATCTGAGAAACTATGTGTTAGATGAACGGACATGAGGACAAGTGATTGCAATATAGACCACACTTATAGAGTGGGGATATAACAACAATCATTAAACAATGAAAATAAGGTCAGTTGTCCCTTGTCAAGATACATGGTTAATCCTACAATAATTCAATACGCCACATTTAGTTAAACAAGTACTTACAATTGAAATAGAAAATAGCACAAGAAAATATTAACAACCATACCGAACTCTAATGTGAATTAAACTAGAGGCTCTAAAGAGCCTGTGTCGTTCACCTGCATCTTCAACAATAGAATAGAAAAACAAAGGATATGGGGTATACATTAATGACACAAAATCAGTACATGCACAGAATAAAGAGCTGCGCCATAAGCGCATGGATGTTCGTCGCTTTTTCAACGAATAAAGTTCCAATACTCCTCAATGTCAAATCAGAAATTTATAAAAAAAAAACATAAACTGTTAACACAGAGATATTTCTCGCCTATTTGTTATCTTGATAATGCAAATGTTGAAATTAAAATAGCAATATTTTAACATGTAAGTATGCAAATATTCAAAGTCAATGAACCATGACTGAAGGTACAGGGCTAAACAATCTCCATGGAAATGAGATGTGCCAATTCTTATACAACTGCATACCAAATACCATTGACTTTTCATAAGTCGTTCCCTTTAAACAAACCTAAACACAAACATTAACTTGTAAACTATGTAAAAGTTTCAAAGTCAATGAACCATAATGAGGGGGTGCGGTTATATAATCTCCATGGAAATGAAACTTGCAAATGCCAATACATTTACATACAAAATATCATTGACTTAACATTAGTGGTTCATCTTAAACGGACCTAATCACAAACAAATACATATGTAAACTAAGCAAAAGTTTCAAAGTCAATAGACCATGATTGAGGGGGCGGGGCCAAATATTCTCCATTGAAATGAGATGTGCTAATGCTTATACAACTGCATACCAATTAACATTGGCCTACCACTAACGGTCCCCCTTAAACTGACCTAATCACAAACTTATACATGAAAACTAGGCCAAAGTTTCAAAGTCAATAGACCATGAATGAGTGGGCGGGGCCAAATAATCTCCATGGAAATGAGATATGCCAATGCTTATACAACTGCATATCAAATATAATTGACCTACCACTAGTGGTTCCCCATAAACTAGACCTAATCACAAACTAATACATTGTCGACGACGACGCCGCCGCCGCCGCCGGAAACAGCATTCCTATGTCCCGCTTTTTGACTCCGTCAAGGCGGGACATAACTGCAGGGAGCTTATTTCAATAGATATAAAGCAGTCACTAAAGTTTCATGAAAACTGCTTAAAGCATTTTTGAGTTATTGTCCGAAAACTGGAAAATCACACTTTTTTTATAGATAAAATACAATAACATGGAAACGATGTGTAAATAACGGAATTTTAGTACACAAACTGGCCATGTTTTGGTAAAAATCATCATGAAAGGGCAATAACTCTATAAAGAGTTAACGTACAATTCCAGTCATGTTGACATATTTGTAGATCTTGTCTTGATGATAACTTTTGCAATAAAACAAGTTTCTATCTGTCAATTATAGTTTTCAAAATAATAGGCAAAAATGCATAAAAAATTGGGAAAAATCATCATTCAAGAACAATAACTTCAATAAGGAGTCAACTGACGATTTTGGTCATTGTTGACTTATAAGTAGATCCTGACTTGTTGATAATTTTTGCTATTTAAAGTTTTTTTCTATCTTCTAAAGTTATTAAGTTCTTACGATATAAGGCAAAAACGCAAAACAAAATATGGTAAAATCGTCATTAACGAGCAATGACTCCAAAAAGGAGTCGTCTGGTGATTTCAGCAATGTTAAACTTATTGTAGATCGTGTCTTGTTGTTCATTTTTCCAAATACAACTTTCACTGTATCTATTATAGTTTTCACAATAATAGACAAAAATGAAAAAAAAGAGAAAATTTGTCATTTAAGGGCTATTACTCTAATAAGAAGTCGTCTGACAGTTTTGACGTAAATAGACAGTAGATAGGTATCAACATTCTCAACATTTTTGCCCCTGTCAGATTTTCTCTATTCGCATCTTCGCTAGCCAAGGGTTACGATCCACTTCCCTCCTCTCCACCCTTTGCGGATTGAGGTAGAATTTCGGAGACACAAGGTAATGATTTTCTTTGGTTGCAGTCGAAACTCGCTGCATCCAATCAAAAAGCGCCTTTAACATGATCACGTGTAAATGTAGAAAGTGTATGTAAACAATTGCCACGTGCTTATTGTGCAACAAGTCTTTACATCCCTAAACATACGACTATATTTAGTGACAATTTGAATGTTTTAATCAATTAATAGAAGTTCCTGTGTATGTTTCTTGCACAAATGCATGAATGTCAACGTATATTTTCGTTTCCTGCTTTACCAAGTGTGTAGAATCTAGACGCTACCGTGTTTTTACCTCCAAATTGAAGAGTTCAAGTGCTACCATTGGTCAAGAATAATGTATTCGGAATGAGCGTGACTTTAATCTATCGATAGATGGCGCAACATTGTTATCACAAATGTTGGCTTAATCTGCCAAGGGTGGAGAGGAGGGAATTTAAGTGGATCGTAACCCTTGGCTAGCGAAGATGCTCTATTCGTAGAGGTTTTCAAGATAATAGCCAAAACTTGCATTTTACCCCTTTGCTCTATTTTTAGCCATGTCGGCCATCTTGGTTAACAGGCGGGGTCATCGGACACATTTTTTGAACAAGATACCCCAATATTAATTGTGGCTAAGTTTGGTTAAATTTGGCCAAGTAGTTTCAGAGGAGATGATTTTTGTAAAAGTTACCGGACGACGACGAAGACGGACAGGTGAGCTAAACAGGGCCCCTGTCAGGGGGAAGTCCATAAAATCTAACAAAATCAAACGTTAGACTATATATAGTAACCATAAAATTTCATGCTGAAGAATAAGAAATATACAAAATCATATAAATTCTCTTCTGCATTTTCATAAAACACGAGCATCACTATCAACCAGACCTCTACACATTACCAGAAGGAAAAGCATTCATTTTTATCTCATAGATAATGGTCAGAAGACATTTTGCAATTTTATTTAAAAGATATGAACTGTGTGTGGCAGTATTTGTTATCAAAGATATGTTATAATTCTTTAAGTAAAGAAAACAAAAACTAACAGAAAAGGGACTTTTCTGGTATCTTTTGCAGTAAACAATATAGAAAACATACTGCAATATACAATATAGAACACTACCTGCATTCAACAATATAGAAAACATCATGCACTCAACAATATAGAAAACAACATGCACTCAACAATATAGAAAACAACGTGCACTCAACAATAAAGAA